GTCGTAAAAATTTGGAGAGTTTTAGTTACAAAAGCACCAACTCACTTGGAAAAAAGAAAATTGGATTCAACTTTGAAAACCAATTATATGTTAACATTGAAATATATGTGTGTGAATTATATTGTATAAGAGATTATAATAGTAAAATCTTAGGTTAGTATGAGATTTAGCATACTTTAAAAAATAATCCAAAGTCGTGTTTCAAAACTTCAGGTGGGTGTAGAGTTTCTCATATATGTGTTTGAGACCTTAGATCTCCGAACTGCCCTGCATGAGAATCAAGTATTTGTTGTTCATGTGGTAATTAAACTCTAGATTTCTTTTAGGCTTCACTGATTCTGAAATCGTTTTGTGTATTATCCCATCCTCAATCATCCTGAAAAATATGTCCTATCTAATTTCTCCAATCAGTCTTCTCTCAATGAAAATAGAGATCTTTCAAGGTGTGTTATTTGGGTTTATTAAGAATCTCATGATAGGCAGTTGCTCATAATACCCAATCAAGTGTGAGTAAGCTATGCCAATGATGTTGCAGTACATGGTAAATTCCTTATATTTTGAGAGACAGTTAACAAAAGGACAGAAGCGTATGTTTTCCATTAAGATGACTGGAAAATGCTTCCTCAGAACAAATAAGTAAGTGCAAAGAGCATTGAATACATGTTAAAATATCTTATGTAATAATTTTACTATGACTGCTGGAAGCTGTTAATTTTGATAGGTTATAGGATTTGTATATCTCTCTCTTTTTATATTTTCACTCAGTGATCTATATAGTCAATTTTCCTTTTGTTCCTTCCCATTCAGAAACATGCATATTTATAAAATTCTTAATGTCTATGAGGAATGAGTCAATAGTTATCTATTTCAAGTCCCCCTGAAAAACTGAATATTTATGAAATAAATAGCCTATTGCTACTATTCCCACCTGCTAGTGAGATTATATACTAAAATAAATGCTGAAAATCAGCTAGATTAGGAGATTTACTGATAATGTCTTCCTCTCAGTTGATGAAACTGGCAATTGCTTTTGGAATATAATTGCTTATAATATTAATCATTATTACCTCCATGTAATATTTTGGGAGGCTTTTTTTTCTGATAAGAGAGTGGGCCTGTGAAAATGGTTTCTGCAAAATTAATCCAAGGTGGAAGGGAATTAGCTGCAGAATGCTGGACAAATACATGTTCTATGTGTGCAAAGCCATTTTATAGCCCATCTTAGTCCGGATCAATAACATATATCAACTTGAGAACCATGACATAATTTTATATTTTCTGAAAATTCATACACCAGAGGTCTATGGGGAACTCACAACCTGTTAATGGGTGTTCTTATCAAAGAGGACTTCTCAGTACTTTAGATCCCAAGTAGAGGTGATAGCATTATTTGATTACAGTGAGTTCCCAGGGTTTGCAAAGTGAGGAGGTAGAACTGTAGCTGCCCAGATCTCTACTGAATCTGCTCTTATGATATGGACACCTGAGACAAATTCAAAGACCATATCACTTCACAATTAGTTCAGTTATGGGCCAGAAGGGATAGGTTTTGTATATTAAGTCCCCAAATACATTATTCACTGTCCTTCTCATAATCAGTTTGCCTAGCTATTTGCTGTGATGACTTAGCTTTTAAGAAGCTATTGATAGTTTTAACCTGTTTGAAAGCACAGCAGATAGACACAGTGCCATTAAGTTGTTGAGGTTAAGGTGTAAATAATATTCTATTTTTACATCATTGTATTTTCTTTGAAAACTCCATAATTATACTTTAATAACAAATTCCTGATTTTCAGAGGCTGCTTTTCCATTGCGTGTCATGGACATTCATAGATTTAATTTCTTACTAATTTGAAGTTAAGAGGATTTCCTTTGAAGTGTATGTGACACTGAAAAGTAAAAAGACCCTGAAATGCATGATACATAATGATAGTACAAATATAAAAATTAGAATGAAATCAAATAATTATGTTAAATAACAGCTTAGTGTCCTTCTGCTCCTGATCTGTAATATGCCGTGGTCAATATCTTTTTCTGTGTCAATGGGAGCTCATTAAATGTAAACTCTGCAGACTAACTGAGACATGCCATATTAGTGCTTGCCAAAGCTTGACATTTTTAATACATTAATAATATGTCTGTAATGTAATGGAAAACTATTAATCACAACTGGTTATGTGCCAGAAATTTAAGCTATAATTGGCTGCTTCTTGTCAAGAATGTCTGTTGCACAGTCCTGCAACTGCCTAATATTCAAATATCTTGCACTCCTCTGCATTTTTCCTTGTCAGTTCTCTAAATTCGATCAATGGTGTAGTCCATAATTCTGTGTAATGACCATCATTATAATTCTGATATACTTTAATGAGAATTCGTTATATTGGGATTGCTATTGTGTCAGGAGGTAGCAAAGGGTTCACATACATTTCCTGAGTGTTCAAATTTTTCTGTACAAATGTATGGTCACCCTTTGTTTTGTGGTTGCAGTAATGTGAAATGTGGTTAAGGAGAGTGTAACCAAGAATAAATGCATGAGGAAAATATCATTTATTGGTTAAAACAGATAATGAAGACTAATCTCAGGAAGCATTCAAATATATATTTAAAATGGTGTTTTGAAAATAATATTAAAAATAAACACACAATGCTCACTCCATTCAAACTCAAAACAGTCAACTCCAGGTCTTCAAGATTATATCATTCTTGATAAAACAGTTGCTATGTATTTGAAACTAAGAATTAAAGGTAATAATTTCTGACCTAGGAGATTTTACACTGCTTCCATTGTAATGCCTACGTCCCCCTACCTCTTGAAAGTATTTGTTTCCTCTTTTAAAAAGTAGTAAACACAATTGAAGAATCCATCTCAAAAATGTAGATTTGTATCATTTTAACACCTTCTCAGATTATTAATTGTCAAATTGTTGGATGTGTCTGAAAATATCCACTTAAAATTACTAATGAATCTGAAGAAAAGCAGAAGGCTGTAGTAGCCACAACACATGCTTCTCTGATTTTTTTCTTTTTAGCTTAAGATTTCAAAATGTGCTTTACACAGTATAGTCTTTAGGTTACACGGAAGAGGCTGATTCAAATCTGTAGTTTATACGTGTTTAGACAAACTACTAATTACTGCTTCATAGGAACTCAAATATTCAACACTTTTTCTAATAGAAAATATCACAAATTGCAGCTGCATGATAACATTTTATGAATTGAATATAATGAAAATTGCACTTGCATCTATAAAGCAATTATTATAAATTACTTTGCTATGGAAACACAATTCCACCATCTGTTGGCATTTCATAGTCTCTGTGGCTTAGTTCATTTTAAGATGGTACATTATTTAAATATAATGAATTTCCTTTATAAGATTGTTTGAAGATAGTGAACTTCCATATTTCAGCTGTTTAATGTGAATTGAAGGGTCTATAATAGAATTTTCCAAAACCATAGGCTTTTAAAAAATCCTTTTCGCATTGCTTAAAAATCAATTAATTTTGAGACTATAAATATGAATAATCTAATTAAGAAAATATACTTTTTAATATCTGGTTTTCAAATATTAGCTTTTGTTTAGATTTGGATAGTGATCTCTAAACAGAAAAGGGGCCAGTTAAACTCACCAATGACTTTTACCCATAGTTATGTAGGGTGCATTATCAGTTAACCAAAAGTACTTTTACACAGTAATTTTTATTTTCTCTTAGAATTAGTGCCATATTATTCTGCTTCATGGCCTGGTATCTCACTCTCGGCTATTTTTATATGTGCATTTTAAATTGTGCGTTTTACTACAGAGCTTTTAGTTTTAAAGCAGCTTATAATATTCGCCTTTGGGACAAATTCTCTTCTGTTGCAGAAAGTAATAGCAAATGCAGATGTAATGGCTATAAAAAGACACAAAAATATAGAAAATTCTTATGAAAGGAAATTTTGCTCCTTTGGTTTTATTTTTGAATATTTTTTTCAGAGAGCCAAGTTATCTTTAGTACTAAATGCAGCTAAACAAAAGATGCTAAATTCTTCAAATATAATGAACAAATCCACAGGGACTGGCTCATGCCAACAATGCTGATTTTCACTCCAGCAAACAAAAGCTAAGAGATGTACAAGGAGTTTGGAGATTTTTAGGGTCTCTTTGCCAAGAGACAAAAGGGATATAAGTAGTTGTCATGTCTTTGTCACTGTTATAAAAGCGCTCATTTACCCCATTGTTCTCTTGGAAGATTTTCTAGCATTGCAGCGTATGAGAAATGTTTAAATCTAGATGCTTGCTCTCAGTTTTGTCAAGATGGAAATATAATTTTTGAAGTGAAAACCTGTAACTCACCTAGAACACACATGTCTGTCTTTGTTATGGAAGAGTTAAATCCCTCATATCGAAATTCCCCGCTACGTGAATGATTTCCACGGTTTGCTCATTCTAGCAAAGCAGCTGAGTAAAGGTTAGCTGTATTACACCAATTTGCTTTATATTGCATCAGACCTCCAAAATGTCAACGTATTGTACATTTCGTAATACACTGATTCTGGGACAGTAACTCTTATTCTTATTGTTTCTAAAAGGGTGTTGGTGCCGGAAGAAAAGAATGATTGATGGGAAACAGACATCAGGCTATAGACACTCATCCTTTTGCTTTGGATACTGATATGTCAGCCTGCCTGAGCATCCCTTGTGAGCTGTGAACATTGAGGACCACTCAGGGTTATCGGATGTACAACGGGAGAGCCATCAGTTTGCTAAATTATTATCTGCAATTGGACATTGTTTACAAAAACCAAACTAGACCTGAATCTAATAGATATGTTCTAGGACAAAGAAAGCTGCAAGTTGTTAGCACCTAACATGCAAGTATGTTAGGCTTCCACCAAAGTCCTCAATATACCTGAATACGCACAATATCTTACTCTTCACGTTTGGTTTTGGAATCTGCTTTGAGGTCCCATCCTCGTTTTTGTTGTTGTTTTTTTGTTTTTTTTTTAAATATACAGATCTACCTACCCAGATACATATATACATATATGTATATATATGTAAAATAGACAAAGATTGCAGATCATAAAGCAAGCTCTGCTTTGGTTTCCAAGAAGATTACAAAGAATTTAGAGATGTATTTGTCAAGATTCCTGTCGATTCATGCCCTTTGGGTTACAGTGTCCTCAGTGATGCAGCCCTACCCTTTGGTATGGGGACATTATGATGTGTGTAAGACTCAGATTTACACAGAAGAAGGGAAAGTTTGGGATTACATGGCCTGCCAGCCGGAATCCACAGACATGACGAAATATCTGAAAGTGAAACTCGATCCTCCGGATATTACCTGTGGAGACCCTCCTGAGACATTCTGTGCAATGGTGAGGTAACGCTTTTGCATAAAATATTTCATATAAATAGGGTCTAATAGCATATGCATACAAATGTGGTGAGTGTGAAGACAATTGATGCAATAAGTTGAATCTGTAGGTGGCAGATTTGTGTTAACAGGCTAGTTTCTTTCTCAGTGGAGGCTTACACTGCCTAGAATAATAATTTGCACAGTGTGATTGATGCCCTGGAAGGAACTTACTTTCTGCTTCCCTGAAAACCAATAGTTTTACTAAGGCAGGTACACTATAACAAATATTATAAAAGAAAAAGTCCAGCTGAAGGTTAAATTTTAGATTGGAGGTTAGAAATATGATGAGGTCATATCTGTCATGTTAAAGATAAAATGCATTGGCAAACCAACTTTCAAAATACAAATGTTTCTTCACATATGTATATAAGGCCAGTCCTAAATTCCATAGTTCAAGGAGAGACTAGATCTCATAATTATCTCCATCAGAAAGCTGCTATGATTTGGGAGTCCTTGGTTAGGAGTCCAGCAAAAAAAAAAAAAAAAAAAAAAATACAGGAGCGAGAGACTAAAGCCTTGTGAGAAGTTTTTCCAGAAATAATCTTATTTGCCAGCTCCCCTCATTGTCAAGGTCATAGTTTTCTATGTACATTTTAAAGATGACTTTTGGAACATAGAAAACTTAAGTGCTAAAAAGTAAGGGCTCAGCATATATAAATTCAGATACTTTTCTTTTGATTGGCAAAGTTATAGTATTCATTATTCTCATGGCTTATGGAAGTCTTTTTTTCTGCATAGGAAGTTAAATACCGTTTGAAAGGTAACACTGGGGTAACACATTGAATTTTTACAAAAGATATAGCTGACAATATTTCTGTTAAGTATTAGTAAAGAGGCTGGTGATTAAAATCATATATTAATGTGCTAAAGAGTTCAGATGGTGAGTTCATTTGGTTTATGTTATTTTTTATCATAAGTGGTTTTTATTTGATACAAGAACTGTCATCCCATTTTGTCTCCACAAAACAGATGTAATTGTATGGCAGATTTTAATAGTATTCTTACCTGACTATATTATCTTGAACCTGGCCTGGCATTTTCAGGATAGTGAAACTATTAATCAAAGTAGCATCTGTTCACAGTCCCCAGTGAGTTAAATTAGCATAAGATCATCTTAGACCTAGCACTATAAAAAAGGTTTTGTAACAGGAAACAATTTTGAGCAATAAAGAGTGTTTTCACCTAAAAGCTAAGGGCTTGCCATTTTTCAGAAGTGCCTTTGGGGACTGGTTTGAATTATAGTCTAAACCTGATTTTGTGGAGAGTGAGGGAAAAAAGCTTGGCTATTAGGTGTCACTGTAACTAAAGTGCCCTGAAAGACTAAATATTTCAAAGAGAGGACCCGTCTTTCGAAACAGGTATGTGCTTTGCAAAGCAGAGACTTCCAGAGAAGGAGTTTATTCAAACAGATTAGCAAAACCATAATAAATCTGTAAAGGAGCAGAGACATTTGTGGTGGCTTTATGTGAGGTCTTTAAAATTTCTCCTAAAAGGTCAAATATAAGATCTCATTACAAATCCGGATTGCTGTTTGGGTGAAAGCTTGTGTAGTCTTCTGCTTCTTACAGCAGAGGATGAGTTCTGGACCAAGTCTTCATATTATGAAGAACACTCTAGCTTTGTGTATTGTTTACATGACACTTGTAACAACATGTCTCTTCTGGAATTGTTTTATAATTTACAGATCTAAGTAAAATAGGAAATTTTCTTTCTCAGGGTGCTGTTTTCCCTCTCATAGGCCCTGTATGATGTTTTCAGGGTGTGATTTGTGGGTGCAGCTTCCCTGATTTCAGTCTGAGGCCACAGAATGCTTGCTCAGCACTGCTCCTGTCTGTCATGTTGAAGGGTTTACTTGGTGTCGTCAGCATGCGTCTTTCTCCCATCATGAGTGCAAAGGGCATGTTACATATCTTCCCATGCCTGCCTTTCAGAGGGACATGGTCTAGGGTATTTAAACAAGTCAATTCCTCTCAGTCCACTGGCTAAGTGATGTTAGACACCAAATGGGAGAAAAGAATTAAAATAATATCCCTCAGCTTTCTCATATGTGGTAATGTGTATACTCTGCATGTCCACACGAAACTCTGCAGGACAGTCTTTAAAAGGCTGCATCTTAGTGTGATGCAGGTATTTGGAATCCTTAGTGGATATAAACTTGTCATTGGACAGAGTGGTTTTCCAAGGGAGAATGTAAGATTTCGGAAACATTACCTACCAGTGCTTAATTGTATTCCTTAATATGCATCTGATTGGCATAACAAATTTTGTAATCTATCTTTTAAATATACATCTTGGGACTATTTGTATGCATATCATATACCATGTCAATGGTAATGGCCTGATATAGCAACACTTCCTCTCTGCAGTTTTAGATGTTCCATAAAACTCTTTAGTATAAGGATTCCTGACACAAGGTTAGGAAACTCTTTCAGGATGCTGTCATATCAAACCTGTTTAGCTACTCCTTAGCCCAGTGTCTAATAGGGATCCATAAAGTCATTTGTGTTGTGACTTACGCATTCTCCGTTCCTTGACATTTGCATCCATAGCTGCTCCCTCTGAGTCGTTATGGCCTATTATATCAGGGGAGCTGCCACATAAGCCCAGCCACTGCTTAGCCCTTATATGTAAATGTTCATGCAAAATAGTTTCAGTAATCACTTGTTCTGCTAGTGACACCCTTATTAGCCGTGGCTATAGCTGTTCTGAGGACTGAGGGAAAATGTGGTCAGGGAAATACCTATAATTCCCAGGACCGATTTGTTTAATATAAAGTTGAAGTTCATTGGCATTGCATTAAGAGTCTGTGTTGCTGCTTTTTTTTCATTGGCCTCATCATTATATGCCAGTGACTGTCTATGAATGTTGTATTTGTTTTAATATAGAGAAAAGTTTCAGGGAAAAAAAGGAGCATATGGATTCCATTTGACAATAGATCTCTGCTTATTAACCTGGATGCCATAATTAATTGTCAATGTCAAGTACTTTAAAATTGTTCCGTGGTAATTGTACCAGTATTTATAAACATTAGTTTTTCAGGAGAGCACTGCCATTTCTATTAATCATAGCGGATGCGGAAGGGGAATGTGTATATATGTAAATATATACATATATACGTAAATTGTGTATATTGAAAACCATGCATTTTCTTTTTAATCTGATATATTCCTTTTGAGTTGAGGATGGCTAAAGAAAATCTCTGTTTTCATCAATGGGGAAGAATCTGAAGGCAAAATGGGGGTTAACCCTTTTTTTAGGCTGGGATAACACATTTGAATAGATCCTATCATTTCAGCCACGCTGAAAGCTTCAGGTGGCAGAGCTTTATGGGGAAACACAGATCATCTAGTGACTACAGTTTGTTTCAATTTGCATAAAGAGCAGAGAGGATGATCTGAACCTATGTGTAAAGCTGAAGTGTCAACACAAAGCTATGACTTGTTCTTTGTGTTTAGACAAACTTAGCTGTCATATCTTCCCTCACACCCCAGTGGCTTAAAAATGGCAAAATTATCTGCAATTATCTCTAGCCTGCAGCTAATTTTCGGGATAAGTTAAACAGACGCTTTGAAAAGAAGCCTACAGACGAAAGAACTCATGTGTGTTTGTACAATTTATGGTGCAGAAGTGCTGATGACTGTGGAAATGGAAGCCCTTGAGTGCTGCTATGGATTTCAGAGCCAATCAAAACTAAATTAGGAAACAAAGATTATTAAAAAGTCTTCTGTGCATGTAATTTTGGCATAATATTATAAGGTGGACATTAAATGTTTCCCTTGGAGGTGCTCAGCATCATTAATGCAGCATGCCTTTAATTACAAGGTAGGCTCTTATTACTAAAAAAATGGAGAAAATAAAATACTCTGAGGTATAGTTAGCAATAACCTCATTATGTTTACTGAAATAATTAAGAGAAAAGGCATAATTTTTCTAAATAAAATGTCAGAATTGGAAATGAAAATGGATTTTCCTTGGGAAATTTACTAAATGTGTGCCTGTGCTCTCGATAGGCATTTATTCAAGTACCTTAACAGATCTATTAATGATCATTCCATATTGTGCTATTTCTAGATAGACTTCTATTATGAAAAAAACTCTAATTATTGTAAGCACTGTGGATAGAGCATGTTTCATTATGTTCAAATGGGATTGACAGAGGTGGTAGAAAGCCTTTGTGTTTTGTGGTTTTAAAGGAACCCTGAGAAATGAGTGACTGGTAACTCGTAGTCTCAGGGCTATCTATAACTTCAAGTTCTGACTTACCTTTGGCTCAGGTTGCCATCTGGTGGCTATCAGGTGGCCCTTGAGAAATTAATTTGATAAACTCAATTACATTTTTGAGGACATGTAATTAATATCAATTTTCCAAAACTGGAAATGACATTAACTTATATAATAAATAACCTTAAAAATGCAGTTTGTTCACATGAAACATAATTCAATAAATGAATGATTTTTAATAACAGTGACATCTTTCATTTGAACTGATTTATCCCTTAATTATGCCAAATGGAATTTTTTAAAACCTTCAGTTCTTTAATTATTAACACTTCATTGTTATTATTTCATTATTTAGACTTATTTCTTAGAAAAGTTTAACTCATGTTTGGAATGAATTAAGTTCTAAGGAAATCAGTCTTTCTGATATATCACTATATCAAGTATTTCCTTTCTGAGGAGACTACAATAGCTCCTTACTATCTACTGCATCAAGCCTAAAGTACTCTACCTGTTTTTGAATTTGGGTGCATACAGCTTATTGCCCACCACTTCTCATCAGGACTCTATAGCCTCTCCAGGGGACTATGGCTGGCAATCTGATTGGAAGGGGACAACTGGATTTGGCTTGAAGATGCATGACTTGTTGGGAAGGTCTCAGGAGGGAACTGATGAAGGTTATGGCAAAGGTCACAAAACCTAAAACCACCTTACGTCATTAATTGCCCCAGATAGTGTGTG